TTCAAAACTTGAAAAGAATTTAATAGTAAATTACAAACAATAAATGTTTTGTAAGATGAGCGGTCTGGTTTAATTTTTCTTGTACGTATAGATTTAAGTATTTAAAAATTATAACATATAAAAATTTGAAATTGAAAAACTTAACAAATGATGGCTAGTAAGTCGTACTAGAATCCATACTCAGAAAGTAAATTTATTGTTGTTTTGTTGAGTTTTCATGACATCATAACGAAACTTAATGCAATAGAACTTCGTTTATATGAACCAGTCAATGTTAAGCGTCAAATATACGAAACTCACAATCGATTAACTTCTGCTCTCTTGTCAATCCTTGTCTCTAATAATCCGAACAAATAAGACTACTATATGAAGAAAGTTATCTAAAATTAGAAGAGAGCATCTATTATTCAAATTTCTCGATTATCCGAAGTTCTACTGTGTCATTAGTATCATTATTATAAAATCTTGGTGAATAGTCAAGAAGTAATTCTACGTGAAAAAAAATAAATCGAAAAGAAGAGAATAAAGTTTCTTCGCTTGAGGTTTTGTATTTGAAAAAATTGAATTTGATAATTTATAAGTTTGCGAGCATTTGACTTGCAATGCACTATAAGCAATCTTATGTAGCTTAAAGAAAAAATTGGATGTCTTCGATTAAATAAAACAGTAAAGTAACATCAGTTTATGATATGTATTTTGATTTAATAAATAAAGTTTTGCATAAAATATTTTCAACAATTCAGTAATGTAGAAGAATGAAATGTAACTACACATGCCTGTTAGTATATCTAATTTTGAAAACAATCAAAAGTTTGCAAATTCAATAAATTTTCTGGAAAACCAAGTCTCAAACGAAAAAAATGTTATTCTCTTTTTTTTTTCAACAGATTTTTTCATCATAGAATCATTTTCTGTCACCTGCCATATTCTGTACATTAGTGTAATTCAATAAAATTATTTCCTTTCTTTATATCACAAGTTTTTGAGAAAATCTTACAATTTCTAAAACAAAAAAAAATCATAAATACTAGAAGTTTAGAAGAATATTAGAAGCTTGGTTTCCTTACTGATTTTACTGACCTTGATTTTATTAAAATATGTTGTCAAGATCATTATTTCAGATAACTTTTTCCGATACACGTTACCGACTGGGTCTAGTTTTCGAGATATTCACAAAAAGCTATTGTTTAACTTAAATATATCTATGACATATTTATGATATATTTAAGTAATATTCTACTTCTTACAACAAATGTGTCACTATTCGTGTATAGATATTTAATTTGCATGAAAAAAAACATGATGTTAACGACTTTTGATATCATAGCAGAAATATTTTCAACTATTTTTATTATTACTAGCGTTCTAATTAATTAATATTTATTTCTATATTCGTTGCCCTGCAGTGGTCGCACATTACTTTAGCACAATCCAACCCGCGATCTGTAGATCGTATGCGGTCCGCACTGTATAACTAAAATTGAAATAATTGAATAAGAATTTTATTATTTGAATAATTTTAATCAGAAATGCTCATGATGTTCCTTTTGGAGAGTATATATTATATTTGCAAACAGATTTTTTTCGCATGTGAGGCATATAAAAAATAAAATATGAACATAAATTTTAGGCAAGCATCTTGAACATACTCTGTATTGCTACTATCTGTATCAGATATTGGTGAATTGGTATCTAAAAAACAAACTGTATTCTCATTAAAAATTTTGATATTCTTTTAATTAATATAAATATATTTTTCTTATCAATGTATTACAAAAGTTGTTTTAATATCCTTATGAATAATGTTGATTACATTGAACTGATAAAAAAATGTGTCAACTATGTGCGACCCTCAACAAATTTTTGTTGGTCAATGAGGCCCAAAAGATCTAAAAGGTTGGACACATCCATAGTTTAACACAACCTGTAGCGCATTAATTTTTTTCATTTAGAATGCGGTGATTTCTTATATCATAATGAAGTGTATCGTCATCTGCGTTTGACCAAATTTTTTTATGAATATCTCGAAAACAGAGCCGAGTAGCAACATGCATAGAAAAAAAGTTTTAGAATGGTGACTTTGATACCATATTTTAATGTCGTTGAAATTAATGAGAAACTTCTAAACAATTACTATTTTTTTCTGAAAAATAATATTAAAAAATTAATCTAGAAATTTAACAAGTAAAAATACAATTTTATTAATGATTCATGATTTGTTTTACATATTCAATCGATAATGAATGTTTTTAAAAAACGCAAAAATTTGTAACAATTGTAATACTTTGCTCGTTTAATGAAATTGGAATACTTATTATATTTTACTTGAAAATCTCTATAAATTTAGCTATTCATTGTGTTATATTTACTGTTCACATGATGTTACATGTTTAAAAATAGTTCATTTTAATTTACATTCTTCTTCATTCTATCTTTACGCAAACGAATGTGAGTTTATGTATTTTCTTGATTCGTTAGTGTAACGAATTAATTGAGAAGACTATTAAATATTAAGTATCTTCAATAAAGAAATTATTGTGTTGAAAATCACATTAATATAATATATATAATATTATAATTATTTATAATACTTATAATACTTATATAATAAATTGTCAAGAACACACAATAATGTGTAATATTTATAAAGTGCATAAGCATTTAATTCGATAATTTTTATATATCAGCAATGAAATCGAACATAATAATCCATTAATTACGAAATTATTTATTTCTTTATTTATATTTTTATATATAGATTTTTACTTTTTATTCTCATGTCTCAATTATGTAAAATACTTGCGTTGTTACTGTAATAAATGTTATTTTCTCTTAAATACATTAAATGCAATACTTAATACAAACAAACAAAGTGATAATGATATTGAAGGTTGAAAATCTAGATACTATTAATTAAAGATTAGATATTAGATATTATTAATTAAAGATTAAAACATACCATCTCCTGAGATGGTTAACCAAAGTTAATCTCCTCTTATCTTTAATCGTAGTATTTTTGGATTAAAGATTAGAATATTTTTTTTTTATTTACATGGATGAAATCCATCACATCAAAATGCGATTTAAATTCTTTAAAACGAGAAAAAGAACGTAATAAAATAATAATTTATATCCATCGTAATAGAACAATAATATATATCCATTTTTCAAAATTAATTGAGTATATAAACTATTTATTTATGAAGATGCACGTGGTTTTATACATCAAATAAAATAAAATAGGGTAACAACATATCGAGTAAAACAATCGAGTAAAATTGTACTAATAACGAAGAAAAGATAAAAATTTTATTTTCAAAGGAATACAAATCTGAAAAAATATAATACAAATATAAAATAAAAAATAAACCTTTTTGGATCAGTATAAAATAATAATATAATTTTTTTTATGTAAGTTAATCACAATCAATCAACTTTTCATCATAGAATTAGTTGACGAATACCCGTTTTCAATTTTTTAAACAAATTTCAATATAAAAGAACCATACTCAATCGGATTTTCTCACATAGAAACGTATGTGTCTGCGATTTTTGAATCGATTAGACGTAAAATCGAAAATAAATATAGGAGAAATGATTTTGCGATAGGAAGTGTTCTCGAATTCATCGTAGATGAAAGAAGAAAAAGTAGATGAAATAATCGTGAGGAGGGTTTCCAATCGAATCTTCTAAAGCTATAAAAATGGAACAAATGAAACTTAATCATATCACCGTAGTTGCCTCTATCATCCGCTAAAAGTAGCTCGTTGACAATATTGTTGACCTTTTAATGTTAAGTGGATGGAATAATCATGGAAGTCCTTAAATCTAATTCAATTTCTGCGATTGATCCAACTCGCACTGAAGACTATAGTTTTATTATTACTCTTTACGTAGTTAAATAAGTGAACTATCTAGTCATGACTATTAATTACGATTATGCTTAATCATCACGCAAAATTATCTTTAAGAATGTACTTTAAGGGTTAGAAAGCCAAATGGTAAATACTGTTCATGAGTTTTTTAATCTAATGTTTTTATTGTTAAAAAAATTTCTCATGTTTTATATTGAAAATATTCTATTATTTATTGAAATGAATGCATATAGAACATAAATATTCCTAGCAGGATTAATAAAATTCATCTATCAAGAAATCAAATAAGATATTGTATATTCAGAGATATTGAGTTACTGAAATAAGCTACAGATACTTTTACATTACATCATATGTATCTATATATATATATATATATATCTTGTTAAAAAGCCAGAAAAATCAAAACATTGTTATAGATAAATTTGGAAATCGCGTACTAACAACAGTTAGAAACATCATTAGAAAAATAAAAATGAATTCTCATCGTTTGGCGTTCTAACTCCTACTCGCATGTACTTACACTATGATTAGCATACGTGAATGTAGATATTTTGAACGAATTGTATTGGCTTAAGAGTGGCATTATAATTCATGAAATAATTTGTGTGAATTCTTTGGAAAGTACGTAGAAATATTTAATATTATACAACAATTTGTATAAATGGTGAAATATGAAGATATTCGAAAATTAAACATTTCAGGACTAATTTGAATGTTATTTAAAATAGAGGTAAAAATGAGCATAATGTGTGAAACAAAATATAATCAAAGTTTAAGTATTAATACGAACATTCCAAGGAATTTAATAATATTATATAAAGCGATATATTGTGATACAAACACATTGTCAAATTATTAAATATGTTCCGATGGCACACTACAGAATATTTGTAATGTATGATGTACACAACAAACATTATGAAACACATTTCGAAATGTTGTTCTTCAGCAGCATTATTCATTATAACATATTCGATAAATACAGAGATCGACGTAACAATGTAACCAGCAATTCAAAAAACTCGTTCATTGTAAATTATCCAACTTTTGCACTGGCTGTGTGCTTTTCTTGTGCTTTGGGAATTGGCAGTCAACCATTATTGTGAGAGCGTAAATAAAAAAATGATTTTGAAGAAATTAGGAAGATATTACATGTTGTATGTTTATTGAAAATACGTTATTCTTATATTGTATCGTTTATTGTAAATACTTTATTCAGTAAAGTGGGGCCAAGGTATTTAATAATGGCCGATTTCGAATATTCAAAGATGAAAGAATGATATTAAGATCATGTACGTTTTTCATTTACAAGATTAATTCATATAACGAAATATTTGTTTTGTTGTTTTAATTGAAATCTTATAATTTTTGTAAGTTTTAAATTAAGTTCTAAATTGAAAGTTTTAAATTAAATAGCATATCGTATTTTCTTGCATTTCGTTTTATTGCTTTTAAAATAAAAATATGTTTTACTTATATAAAATATGTGTTTTTATAAATTTTTTATTGCGTTATATTGTATTAAAAATAAATAAAGAATATTTTTGTGTCAATCCTTGTTAATATCTGGAAATGCATATCAAAATATGTATCACTTTTTAACGCAATAATTAATCAGTAAGAGCAATTCTACGCTTTTAGTAATTTTGCAGAAGTAGTACATATTATTCATTCAAGGAAAATGGTAATTCAAGGAAAATGATATTAAATGATCTATGAAACACGTGCACCAGCTTTGTAGATCAATCTTAATAATAAATTTAGCAATATTTTTCGATTCTACTTGATACTAGAATTGTTACACATATCTAGAATTGTTACACATATCTAGAATTGTTACATATACTGTATACATGTAGTTTGTTGACAGGTTAACGTGTTCAATTTTCTGCGATATTTTGATATAAATCTTAATAGTGCATATCATATCGTATTTTCTTGCATTTGTTTTATTAATCAGAATATATTTAATAAGGATTATTAATTTATTGTTATCAGATAATAGTTTTTAGATAAATAGTAAATATACAGTTTTATGATCTAATGTATAGAAGATTTAAATATAGAGAAGATTTAAATATAGAAAATATAGAAAGTATAGAAGATTTAAATATAGAAAATATAGAAAATATAGAAAATACTGTAAATCATAATAGACAGTATAGCTGTTATAAATAATAACATAGATAAGGGAGGCTGAAGTAATAAGAAACAGGAGTAATAAGATACATTTCTTTTTTTCCTTTGTTTATGAATTTAAAAAAATTTCATAAGGCATTAGTATTCACTTGATGTAAAAGTTTTATTGGTATCATTTGCTAAATATAAGAATACCTTACAAGTATATCTCTATTGAAACATCTATCTACTAAAAATTTCACTAATTAAGTATTATTTTTAATACATGAAATTTCCTTTGACATTGCTAACATATTTTGTTAAGAACTTTTTACTTCAATTTGTAGAACATTAAAAAAACTTTTAATTAAGCTTTTCATTCATAAAAAGTAAGGGAAAGGAAAACCATGTTTTTTATTACTAAAAAGAAAGTTCTTTTATAGCAATAAGAAACATTATTTTCTATTCCTTATTGATTGATTTAAAAGTCTTTTACTTTGCAATACAATAGACAAGATATTTTGCCTGCTTATTTATTAAAACAAAAGTTCTATTTTGAAAAAGAATAAATTTACGCTTTTTACACTTCATAATTTAATGTTTAGTGAAGGATATTTTGTTTTTGGAAACAATTTTGCTTGTTTTTTATGTATATATTAAAATTGCTAATTATTTATTGGTCCAGTCATTGTTATCTATATTTGTGAACTATTATGTTAAAACGCAATTATATTATCAATATATCCTGCTTTTCAAGCAGGGTATTTAAAAAAATAAAAAAATAAAAAATCATTCACAGCTTTGAGCAAAATACTCTGCTTGAAAATAAGATTTTTTTTACTAACAAATGTTTTTGATCTGTTTAATACTTATTGTATTGTCAAAAAACATTTTTGTAAATGAACAATCAATTAGTTTCGAAAAAGTAAACTTGTATTTAAAACTTTTTACATTGAATTTTGCTAATTCCATTTACTTAACTCCACCTCAGAAAGAAGATAACAACAGAAGTGTTAAAGAAGATTAGATATAGTTCAATTATATAATTTCTTATAACTCTTCAAGAATTTCTACTAGTAAGAAAAGAGTATTAAAAAGCTTATTTCTTATTACCCTCGACGTAGTATTAGGGTACATAATACCGGAGTAATAGGAAACAATATTTATTTCGTCTATGATTTAGTTGAAATGACGTATATATTTTTTCATAAAAACATTTGAAATGTTCGTCAGGTAAAAACATTAGAGCTCCAGAACTCAAAAACATTTGCTGTATTTTATACATAATTTTGTACATAATTTTATACACAATCTTGTGTCTTATTTCTGTTTTTTATTACACCATTGATCCCTACTTGTTTGTGATTTTTTGTCTTCTTTACGATTATTTTCGAACTATACAGGTGATCTGTGCCGAATTCAATATTAAAAATATAAATAATGTATGAACTGTATTTAAAATTAGAATATAAATAATGTATAGAATTATGAAACGATGTTAGCTGAAGAATTTTAATATTTAATATAGAAAATATCTTTCTTTTTATTGAACGTATGATATAGACATTGATAGCATAAAACAATCCATATATTATATATACATTGTATAATTTTAAAAAGTATATTAGACATATTTTCTACTAATACTCATTATTATTATATATAATATATGCATAAATGTAAACATGTTACACCTAGATATATATGAGTTTAGATATATTTGTTATAGATATATATTTTAAGAGTAATTGAATTACAGTCCGCCATGTGAATCGACTCAGAAAATTTGTAAATTGATACTTGTCGATTTATATAATTCAACTGAATTCATATTTCTGGATGAAATTCATTTTTTAGAAATTGATCAAATTATATATGATATATATGTGATACACATATATATAATTTTTTTATTATATAACACTATTAACATAAAATATTTAGAAAAATAAACTTTTGTTTGAATGTATAGTAAATGTTAAAAGATTGAAAAAATGTTCGTGAAAGCGAAAAATAATTTTGTGCATTGTATCTTATATTATCTAATTGCAATAACAACAAATTCTTAATTTTCTTTTTATTATTTTAATCTTATTGTCTAAATGTCATCAACAATTTTAATGTATGCTATCAAATATTTATTATTTTATGTTTTAAAAAATTATTTTAAGTTTACAACCAATAAAAATATTGTACGAATAATCTCTGAGATAAACGACTAGCCGAAAATAAATGTTCCAAGTAAAGATGAGTCAAACTACTATAACTCCGAATAAGTGTACGTTTTGAGGAATTGTTACGCAGAATAATTGTGTAAGATTTCTTTCAAGAACGCGATAATTACAGTTTTTACGACACACATTTTTGATAAATACGTTACTTCTAAACTGTCTGAAGTGAATGTATTGAATCTATAGCTATATTCGACAAAAAAAGGGGGAAACAATTATGTAGTATTTATTCGTCCACATATAATATTAAGAGAATTTCTATAAAACAAATTTATGTAATAATTCTGTAACATTTTTAAAACAATGTCAATGAACATTTAAATAATTGAACATTTTCTACTATCATATATTTTAAAACTTAAAGTATCATAAAATAACTTCTCTATATTCTATAACACTTCTATATAACTTGTTGCACGATAGATTAAATTTATAATAATTTATAATAATATTTGTGTAAAAATATACCTATCATACAGCCAGTACAAAAGTGAAATATCAACAAATATAAAAATAAAGAAATGATCGAACGATACATTGCAATAATACATAAGCGACCGATTCTCGTCGATTAATCTGTTTTATCAAGTAATTCAATAGAATGTAAAGAAATGTAATAATCTCGATAATCATGACTAAGCGTGATAGACTTTCTTCGCAGCAAAGAATTCTGTAAGTGTCCTTCCAATCAACTAATAAAGTAAAGAAAAGATAAAAAGAAAATGAACGTGGCTAACACACTTTCAAAGATTCAAACGACATCTTAGATTTTAAAATAACTTAAACTTTTAATACTGTATATTTCCTTTGCGGTCCATCCTCTGACGTTTTACATAATAGAATATAAAAAAATTGAAATTAAGAAAACAAAAACGAGAGATTAATTCAAATAGATTGGTCATTTCTTGAATGAAATGAAAGATGAAAATTCGAAATGAGAAAAAGAGAGAAGAAAAATAATCGAAAGGGGTGACGAATGAATGTACGTATTACGTATTACAATTGTACCATATATGTACATGTAAGTGCTAATAAAACTTATTTTAACATGGACTTTCTGTTATTATTTAATTTTGAGATTATATCAAATTTTATTCACAATCGCAATATCACATCGAATACTATTACATCGATTCAAACAGATTAACACCTTTAATAAAACAAAACAGCTGCAGACAGATTCAACTTATTGTATATTATAAAATTGTATATTTTATATCTATAAATAAAATTAATACTCAATTTCATCAATTTGGTGAAAAATAATTAGAATATAAGTAAATTATATTCTTGAATTTTATTTTTCAAAATGTTTCAAAATATTGTAAAAAAATATTGCACAGCGGTATTTGGTATCTTGATGTCGAAGAAGCCTTTGACAAAACGGCACATTTGATTTGCTACATAAAATTTTAAAAAACTTTCGGTCAGCAATTTATCATTTATTTCTCGTAGGGGGACCATATCGGCTTGCCGGTGATGTGAGTCTTTGAGGAATGACGAGTGGTACTCCACGTGCCAAAATTGGTCCTACCCAGGACCAGGATTTGCAAGGACCTCCTGGAAAGCAGACTTGCAGACTTGTTTGCGAAAGGTATGACCAGTACGGCCTTTATCACTCAGAGGATTGACGTACGAAGTCCATGGTTAGATCTTGCACTCGGATCTTATAGTTCTTTTTCCTGTAGTTTCTCCAGTAGCTCTTCAGGGAAGGAGATCGTATCTGGTAAGTCTTAATGGCAGGTATACGTTAAATCTAAACTTTATCATTTACTAAAATTTTATCTAATAGACAAAACATTTGTAGTAAAAATCCAAGATGTAACCTTTAACATCTTTACGATAAGTATGCAGAAGTTCTTCAAGGAAGTGTTTTAAGACATATACTGTACACGCTGTACATAGCGGATACGATTAGTATCACAATTTTCAATTGCAGTTGCTTGATGCTCAGTGTTTTTTTAGCATTGTATTTTGTATATCTTTTTTACTTGTATCCGCAGTCAGCATATTGTCTACGTAAATTTTTATACACACAGAGTAGTCCATTTAAATGTTTTGGCCATCTAAATATTTTTTTGAATTGTAATGATGCAAAAAATATTTTATTTTTGCCTAACATGAATGGTATTGAAAGACCAATAACTGTGAAAATATTTTTTTTTCATCGTCATTTTTTTCAGAGTTCTCAAGATCATTGATGTTTTTTTTTTCATACAACATATATTTGTTTTTATTGTATTGAGTAGCTAATAAAAGAAGTACGTTCAGATAAGTAAAAAACTTAATCTTGAATATTTAAATTTATAAATTTATCTCTATCAGGATCACAGAACTGAATGATAAACGTAAATGAATATGTTTATTATTTCTTACATTATCAATGATAATCTAATAGCTTGAAATTCCAATCAATGTATTTGTTTAGATCTCAAAAGTTATTGCGGCGCTTAGTTTGTTTAATACAGATAGTACAAGCGAAGAAGAGATAACTCTGTAGGAAATGAGTCAAGAATAAGAATTTTTCGGTTGAGTCTATGTTTTGGAATAAATCGGCTTTGCATATTCTTCGAGTACGCGTGCAGTTAACAACGTCGTACGTGAATGAATCTTAATACGATATTTTTAGAAACAGTATCTTTGACATTCCATTCTCAAGCGATAGCGAATATTTAGGAAATAATAATACGTCACCGATAAACTACAGTATAAGTAGGGCAAAATTTTAACAGACAAAAAGCAATTCCCTCAGAATCCTCGAACAACGAGCTTCCAGAATCAATCTCCTACCGAGCAGCAGTTATATTGTTAGCGTTACTATTTCCATATCTACTATTCCATTAGCTATTGTTATATTTTTTTATTTACTATTTCTTATATTTTTAGTTAATCAGTAATTAATCATAGTATTAAGTCTCATTATACGAAATATTAATTCCAGAATATAGTATATTTTACGTATGAACTTCAGTGTTCTTTAATTATTATTAACCAATTATTTTATTATTTTATTATTAACCAAGTTTTTAACGATTGCTGCCATTCATCTGGTGACGGAAGTGCAGATGTAGCTGCACGGTATCCAGTGTTAATAGCAATCATCAAATACAAGAGATACAAGACACAGCTGCATAGTATCTCTGATTTCTGATTTATGTGAGCAGGTAAATCAATGCCGTGTACACGTTATGTTACCAATTACCACATAAACTACATAAACTAGCGCGAGTTATATCATTTTGTAAATATATGCTTTTGCCTCTAGGCGTCGAGACTCCAATTGCAGAGGCCAAGATATCGATGTACGTTCTTGGAGGGGTTCCGATCACTCTCACTGGATCAAAAGCGCCTCGAACTGCAGAGAGTAACGGATCCCAATCAGTTGGATCAAAAGATTGCACTTTGACACGTAACGGCTGAGCATGAGTTATTTGTCGTCGTCCGACGTGCCGGAGAGAAGCAGTTCGAGTGTGCAAAAATGCATATTTTTCAAGTACCATGTTCTATGGATCTCGTGAAGTATGAAGCTGCACTCCCACGATGCATTTTAATTAACCCTTTGCAGTCAAGTGTCGGCAAATAGCCGCCCAATTCTGTTTACAACTGTGGACA